TCATTAACTAATGTTATAAACAATAAAAACATAAGAGCCCAGCTTTGCAAGGTGGTTAATGGATCTCATTTAAAAGATGTTATCTTCCATTCCTAGTCAAACAAGTCTCTATATGTTAAGCATTCATTGTATGTAATATAATTAAAATTGGTTCATTACTAAAAAAGGCTCCTCAAACCCTACTCTGAATTTCGGCATACTCTGTACTTCTTTATATTATGTAAATGGAAAAGTACAACTTTATAGTATCCGATGTTGGAGAGTAATTAAAAAAAATTTAATACAATACAGAAGGTGAAAAATGTTTTGAAAAAAAGAGATACTGGTGCTACTATCACATTAGTGGGCCACAGTAACCACTAAACAAACAAAAGTGATCAATAAATAAAGAAGTGGTGAGAGCACTCAATACAAATAAAATTAAAACCAATAATACCCAAAATGTAGTATGTCTCTGAAATAAAGCAGAAAATACAATAGGGTAATAACTAGTCATGTCCCGAACGGTTCGCCACGGACCACGAACATATGCACTGTTCGGTCCGCCCCCTATGTCATCATTGAGTAAACTTTGACCCTGTACCTCACAGTCAGCAGACACATTCCAGCCAATCAGCAGCAGACCCTTCCTCCCAGACCCTCCCAGACAGCATCCATTTTACATTCATTGTGAAGCTGCATTCTTAGTGAGCTGTCCAGGAGGTGGGAGGGTCTGGACCCGCAGCTCTCGCGAGACTTACACTGTAAGCAGAACGGAGCTGACAGAGGAGCTGCACGGAGGAGAAAGGAGCTGACAGGAGCTGCAGGTAAGTTACAGCTCACTGTCAGCCCCCCCACTGAACAGCCAATGCCACTGGACCACCAGGGATTCAATATTATTATTTTAATATTTTATTTTAATAATCATATTATTTTAATATTATATTATTTTATTATTATATTATTATTATTTTAATATTTGCATTATTTTTATTTTTATTTTTTTTGTCCCCTCCTCCCTGGCCAGGCAACAAGCAGGGAGGGGGGACAAAAAAACATTTAAAAAAAATTCAAATAAAATAATAATAATATAATAATAAAATAATATTATTAAAATAATGCAAATTTTAAAATAATAATAATATAATAATAAAATAATATAATATTAAAATTAAAAAATTAAAATAAAAATGCCCTCCCCTCACCCAGTTTACACACACTGCACAAACACACAGACTGCATCATATACACACTGCATTCATTATATACACACAACACACAAACACACACACTGCATTCATTATATATATATACACACAAACACACACATACTCTGCATTCATTATATACACACAAACACGCACTCTGCATTCATTCTATACACAGACTGTAAATAAATATTCAATTAATGTAATTTTATTGGGATCTAATTTTATTTAGAAATTTACCAGTAGCTGCTGCATTTCCCACCCTAGGCTTATATTCGAGTCAATAAGTTTTCCCAGTTTTTTGTGGTAAAATTAGGGGCCTCGGTTTATATTCGGGTCGGCTTATATTCGAGTATATACGGTATATCCTAAATGGAAGCGAATTAGGGATCACAACACACAACAAGGATTTGGGAATTGTTATATATAACAAACTAGGCAACAATGTGCAATGTCAATCAGCAATGGCTAAGGCCAGTAAGGTATTGTCATGCATGAAAAAGGGCATTCATTCTCGGAATGAGAATATCATTTTGCCTCTTTCTAAATCTCTGGTAAAACCACATCTTGAATATGCTGTGTAATTTTGGGCACCTGTTCTAAAGAAGGATATTATGGCACTAGAAAGAGTGCAGAGGTGGGCCACAAAATTAATAAAAGGAATGGAACATTTTAACTATGAAGAAAGGTTACAAATTTAAACCTCTTTAGTTTAGAAAAACGGTGCCCCAGAAAGGAGATAAACCATTGTCTGGAAATCTATTCACAAACAGTACTATACATAGGAAACAAGGTCATCCATTTAGACTAGAAGAAAGGAGAATTAGTCTAAGGCAAAGGAAAGTTGTTGTTTTTTTTTTTAACCATAAGAACAATAAGGATGTGCAATTCTCGACCAGAAGAAGTGGTTTAATCAGAACATGGTAAACAGATGTTTAAACAGCAACTAAATGGATACTTACAAAAACATAATATTCAATTCTATAATTTTTTAAATTGTAGGCTAATAGCTTCTTGATCCAATGATAAATCTGACTGCCATTCTGGGGTCAAAAAGGATTTTCTTCCAAGTTTGTTGCACAATTAAAAGTGCTTAAGAATTGACTTGTTGCCTTACTTTGGATCAACAGCAAAATCAAATGTGAGGAAGGCTGAACTTTATGGACGCAAGTCTCTTTTCAGCCTATGTAATTATGTAACATCTGCATGCCTTTGTCAGAAAGCTTAAAATGGGCTTAGGTTGGATCTTTGAGCAGGACAATGATCTAAAACACATCAAAATAAATACAAAAATGGTTTACTGATGACAAAATCATGGCCCTGCCCTGGCCACCCCAGTCCCCTGATTAGAACTCCATTTAGAACTCATGGGGTGAACTGAAGAGGAGCATTGACCGCAACATGTGATGGACCTGGAGAGACTCTGTATGAAGAAATGGTCTCAGATCCCTTACAGGCATTATAGGAAAATACTCAGAGTTTACAAGTCTGTATTGTGTTTGCAATTGTTTGATATCCATGAGAGCAGAGCATTCTATGTATTATTTTGAACAAAAGATGAAAAGGTTAAACAATAAAGACAATTTTCACGGCATTATTTGTTTTACCAAGGGTGTCAGTTTTAGTGGAGGACACTGTATCAATCCCATATCAATATTGATAGATCTACACAAACACTACACATTTAATGTAAAACATTGCTGCTGCTGCTGCTGTAAAAAATTATTAGAACTATAGTTTGAAAATATAGATCATTTCATTGCATGTGTGGGGAACAGTGATGTGAAGATCTCACCCAATTTCAAGTTATAATAAATAATTATAAAAACAGACTGGAGTATTCACATGCACAAAAACTAAACACAGGGTGGTACCTACCTTACATGTTCGAATATTAACAACGTCATGCTGAGAGTGAGGTCTTCTCCTCCGTTATCAATTCCTCGGTCGTAAAGTCTTCGATTATTCAATTATTCACACATTATTATGCAGTACAGCCTTCGACTAGCCTCCAATAGAATTTAAATGTACAAACTATCTCACACGTATTCAGTCATCATAAATTATTGATCATTGATATAAGCAACAGGGAGGTGAAAAAAAAGCTTGATGCATTACACTTTATAATTGACTTTGATAGAGTTCTAAAACATGAAACACCTTGATAAAAAAAAAAAAAAATTCTTTACACCTATCTAGTGAAGACTTGATAAAAAAAATCCTGGTTTTCCCATTGAAGCATCCGAGTTTACTCCAACCAGACCTTAAAATGGTCAGGGCATTAAGGAGTTGGTCATGAAACAAATGTCTTGGTCTGAGTGAAATTAGTAGGTAGGTCAAGTCAAACACTTACATACACACTTCTACATGTAAACAAACACCTATAGCAATAACTCATATTTGTACTTGGAACCTTTGGCGCTAACGTGCCTATTGCAATCTTGTTCTTTTTTAGCACACTACATGTATAAAATGTTTCTAATAATAAAATATTTATTATGTTTAACTATAACTGATTTCAAATTCTGATATGCCGTGCTTGCTGGAGTGAATGTTTTACCTTTAGTTTGAGATACTAGATCCACCGTGCTTTCTTGACACAAATCAATTAGATAAATTGGCCTAACCTGTGGGGCCTTATTGAAATAAAGTAATTCAAAATTATTCATGCAGCACTCAAATTCTGCATTCTTCTGGGCATCTCTTTGTATGTGTTTCTGAACTGCTTTTCAAGATAAGAAATAATTGTTAGTTATAACTCAACAGACATTATCTGTTTTCATACTATCATGAATACAGTTCTCATATTTTACACAACTTCACATTTTCTATCTTGTTAATGCACTATATATATATTTATCTATAACAAGCATTTGTTCCAATTATATATACATGACTCTTTCATATTACCAATATTTAGATAAACTGTAGGTAGGCGTATATACAGAACTATACAGAGTCAGGTCAATCCATTCAATTTGTAATCATGGTCAGCACACACTTGGCGTAACAATTTATTAAAGCCAATCACATATTTAATAAAAAAGCATGAGTGACTCTTGTACAGCTACTCTTTATGTAATATGAAGAATATGTTGTTGACAATGATTACATTGTCGGCAAGTACATTTGAACAGATTGTGATTAGGAAAACCTTGCAAGTTCTTAAGATATTTAAAAAGGTCAATGATTTTATAAAACTAGTTTTGTACAATCAAAGTTTGCAAGATCTATATGATTGAACATCGCTACAACAATGTCTCAATTTAAGAGGTTATATTGGTTGAGTCAAAATAAGAATTAGTTTATTATGCATGTTTACTGGGCTGCAATAAGTATTGAGTAGAGTTCATCTCATGAGTTCAGAAGAGTCAAAGTCATTGACAGGTATGAATTTAGCAGAGGTTTTCATTAACATGACAACGGGGAGTTGTAGAATTCTACTGAAGAATAACAAAATAGGCGGTACGGCAGAGTAAGAAACATGGGTTCTAGGGAGCTCATGTGAAAATTACAGACTTTATTACAATGGATATGCTACTTTTCTAGATGTTTGTGATTCAATGGGTAGTTAACCTCCCCTTTACTTCCTATGTATACAGCTTTTAAATCTACTCATTGTTTTGAATTATTAAGACTTGATAAATGCCTTAATGAGGGTTAAACCCTCATTAAGGACATTTTACTCATATTTTAAATTTTTGTTTCATTAAAATATAATTTTATGACATTTCTAGTTTGTGGTTTTATCTTGAAACAGTGTAACACATTTTGGAAATATCAAAGTTATTATATAGCAAATACTTTACATTCGTGAGAACCTTTTTGTGGTTGGTTAGTTTTCTTTCTTTCCTTGTTGCCCTTACTTTTTTTCCTTTTTTTTTTTTTGCAAATGTTGCATAATTCAGTTCCTTATCCCAATGGTATTGTGTTTCTACTTCTTCTAAAGCTGACAAATTAGTCTATCAGTGATTGACTGATACAATAAGAGGAACATTTAAGGAAATCAAACCAATGTTGTTGTTTCCCATCCCTCTATAAAATAAGCTTTAAGGAATGTAGCAGGCCCATTGCAATGTCTTCTCTGCAATTTAAGAAATTCTGGATAGCATACAGAGTTCATTTCAGCTTTATATGCAGACCGAGATAGCTAAAACTCTGCATTGTGAAGATACATTATGGTTGGTGTTAGGCAAGCTGACACATTATAAATATGAACACATTAGTTGCATTTAGACACAAAAAAATAATTACAATGAGAATTTTGGCAGAAGACATTTGGTAAATACTGTGTAAAAGGCACTAGCCCTTGAACTTGCACAATATCTGTAAGACAATTTGTAAAATATTCTCATAAAACAAAGACCAAAACTAGAGTATATAAAAATTTCAGAGAATAAAATTATTAAAAACCACTATGTAAAAATAAAGTTATAATTTAACAATAAGAATCTGGATTTTTTTTTTTTCAGAACACATTCAAAATATGACATTTTTATCTGTACTTCATATGACTACTATGTACAAAAAAGTTAAACAATTTAATTTCTAAAAAATAATGTATAATTTAATGATTATGTTCATTCCATCTTTAAAATAAACACTTTGTAATCTATATCAAACCATTGGTTAGCAAAATATTTTTACATCTACAAAATTATATCTGCAGATAAGGGAACCCATCAATCACAAACCAAAAAAATAGAACAGGGATATTTAAAACTATCAAGATCAGGTAGTTATATATTAATCTGTGTAACCAGGAGCATATATCCATTTATTATCAATTATCTAAACTAGTCCAGTGTGGAGTCTATTCACTAAACCAGGAATTGCACAGAATTATGAAAGGAATTGCAAATTTTGAGACAAAATATTCAGAATAAAAAAAGGGGTAAAAATTGGATATTTATTTTCTAAAATATTTTACAGTTTTAATGAATAGACCCCTGTATTGTGCTTATAAAATTTGTTAAAATGCTCAGTTGTAGTTTTTGTTGATAGTGAAATGCTTCAAGGTAAAAACAATCTGTTGATTTTCTGTTTATTATTTTTAGCATTTATATAACGTCAACATTTTCTGCAAAACTTTACAGTTGTAGAATGTGGTTATTTTTGCAAACAGTAATGGCTTACGAGCGGTGCAAGATTGAACCATAAAGTGGAAAAAGAGAGAATGAAGTGGACTATGGAAACAAAGATGAATTGTGGAGTTATGTGAAGGCTATGTGGAATGAGATCAAAGTTATCTAGGTTTATGACAAGCTTTCTTAAATAGGTACATTTAAGTGTGGCAGAGAGAAAGGCAAATAGGATGTAATTGAAAATTCCATAAGAAAAGAGTGGCCCTCGAGAAATCCTGTAGATGAGAATGACCAGTATAGGAATGCGCAGAGGACAACAGAAGGTCAATTGCAGAGTGAAGAGAATGGGAAAAGGGAAAATGTCTTAATTAAAAAGGGAAATGTGGTGAGTAGTGGAATTGTTAAGGGCTTGGTAACATTTTGTTAGTGGTTTGAATTGAATCTTGAAAAATTCCAGCAGCCAAAGTGAGGTATAAGATTATGTATGATTTAGTAAAATAGATTGAAGTGTATAGTTAAATTATCCCACTGAAAATTGGGAAAGAGTTTTGGGGCAATTAGCAAGCATTCATCAAAACAAATAACATATAACTGCTTAATTAACTGACCACCATTTGTAATAATTCCATGTCCAGTTGTTACATTGCATACTCACGACTTCACATTTGTGAGCGATTGTACAAGACTTTCTTCAGAGACAGATTCCTATTAAGAACACAACTTTCAAAATGACAAGGAATCATGGGACTTTGTATAAATTAGGTTTGAATTTAACCTGTCACTTACCTTCATTCCCCAGTCGCACGCTCACCAGATCTCACAGTACCATTTGCACTTCATTTTCATCATATTCACCATCATCTTTTAATGAACCCACGCCCTTTTAATAAATTGTACATATTGTCAGGAGCTCTTTAGTGATAGCCATGGGTACATCATGTAACCATATTCTTATTAATATTAATTTATACCTCTAATTGCACACTTGGTTTTTGCTCTTATAAAGAGTTTGTTCTACACCCATGTTGGTACAGTTTTTTAATATAATTTTCTATGTACTGACTATTGTTCTCTGACTGTGCTCCCAGGACCAGAAATCTGCCCACAATTATGCCACTGTGCCAGTAATATTGGCTATGTACCTAGTAGTGGTTAGCGTAGGTGAAAACCTTCATTCTAACGCATGGCTGAGCCATCGCTGCAAATTGGGTCCAGCCCAGTTGTAACATTATAATAATGTTTAAATGTTAATAGATTTTAAAAACCAACCTTGTATAAAATACCTTAAAAGATGTAATAGCTATTTCTGTAATTTAGAAAGAAAAATAATAGGAAGAAATCCTCTCGTATAGAGACGAGGGGAATCCTCCTACCAGTACTACCCCTAGAAAGACATATATACAGGCTTGTAGAAAACAAGATATGTATAACTAAAATAAACTTTAATGTTTGTGTGTAGGGTTATGCCCTTTTCGCTACCCCTATAACCCATTTTGTACTCCTTGCTAGAGTCCGTTCTCTGCTCGGTCGTATTTTTTATATATATTTCTGTAATTTGCTGACATACCTTATAAAACAATAAAAGATTCATCTTAAGGATACATATATCACTGCTAGAATCATTTAAGAAACATGTATGTATCTACACAGAACTAAAACCCAACTTGATTTGCTTACTAAACATAAAACTGCATCGAACAAAACAAATAACTAAATGGTGAATATAATTCCATTGATGAATTTTCACCAAAAATAGTTTATTGTTTTCTTAATTCACTATAATTTGTTAAAACTCTGTGTTATTTTATTAGCAGGACCAGGTCTACATGACACTTGTTGCCTCAATATCAGGTCCTGCTTGCAATATGTGTGTGCCTCAACGCACATCACTAGCCAGCACATCCCTGTAGGCGTATATATTCCAAACTATTCAATGACTGAAATTCATATCCTGATTTTGAAAAACATATACTAATATGATTAAAACAGTTTCATTAAGACGTGTTAATATAAAAAAGATGACTTACAAGAAGGATACTATTTCACCTATACTGTACTACTATGCATTGGGTTTAGAGATGAGATAAATTGTGCCCTTATTTATTACCAAAATCAAGTCTACATTTTTTTTAAACAATTGGTTTTACAAAATACATTTAGTCCATAAAGCCTCACGTACCTATATTTACACTGCTGGAAATATTACCAGCTTGTAGATACCCAAATTCCCCTGCTCGTAGCCCATCAATTTAACCCCTACACTACCAAGGACTGTTTGTTCGAAAAAAATATGAGTACAACATTTGTTGATAACATGAGGTGTATAGCTAGCATATAAACATACAATAAAACTGAAAATATGTATTGATTGCTTTTCAGACTTGCCTAAATGAAAACTATGTATATTTACACAATTTGTATTTTTTATTTAGTCGTTCATCTCTTATAGAAATAGAGGAGAGGGGAACGGAAAACTTAGTGCTTTATCTTATAAATATATAAAAATGGCCAGTAAGCTTGCTTATATGTATTTCTAGGGACACAGATCAGTTTACACAAATTAGCATAATGAAAAAAAACAATATCTGAATTTAAGCATAATGCCCACATACAGAAATCATATACTTGAAGAGTAAAGCAATTGTAAAAATGCTATTGCAATCCATTTACATCTCTGGAATCAGGGCTGGGCTTACATCTGCCTACAGACACTTGTTGACTAGGGGGACTGTTTTCAGCACTTATAATGTGTTGTGGCGATAAGTACCAGGAGCTTTGGTCAGTGTCCTCTGTAGTTTATTCCACCTCATAAACTAAGAGCAGAACTTCAGGGACAGTTATAGAGGATGTAAAGCTCAGTGCTATCCCAACTCGCTCCTTTAGTGTCTGTGTGTGAGGCTGGACAGGAAGTGGAAGGGATCACTTCCCATCTGCCCACTAGCAGCCTCTCACACACGAAATGCTTTGAGGAAGAAGCAGGGACAGCAGCATTGCACACTGTGTAATAGCTACTGCATCACAATAATCAAGCATAGGATGCTGAGAGGTCTACAGAAGACATAGGACAGCGAGTACTTTGCAAAAAACCCTTCAGACTCCACATGAACTAAATAACCTTTTCCCTAACCCAATATGTTAGCACTCCAAGTCTAAACCTGCAAAAAAACATATTTACCGTAATCCTAGGTTTAACCTTAGAAAAAGAAACAAGGCAGCGAGAGCAGACTTAGGCACTATATCCAAAAAGGAAGAGTGTCAGTCTGGACTCACGGTCTTGTGTACCACCAGGAGACTCCAGGGATCTCCAGGGGCTTAACCCCTAAATTAGTAAAGACAAGGAGGAAAGAAAGATGCTACAAAGTCTCAATCTAAGACAAGACATGAGACCCAGTGCATCGCCTGGATATAAATATAGCCACGTAGAAACTGCTATGCAGGTAGTATGAGCTAAATTAACCCACAGAAATGAGGCCAGAATAAGTAAAGAAAAATATCATAAATAAATAAAGTATAAACAAGTGTAACTAATACCTACTATACCTCCAAGATAGATATAGGGGGAAAACACTGCTAAGTAGCCAGAGGGATCTACTATACTAAAATGGAGCTTTATTAAGAAATGGCTAGAACGCAAATGTAGATCCCCCCAGTAAAAAAAATGAAATGAGAGAAATGAAGAAAAGTCAGTTTAAAATAAACTGACAATGTACTTTATAAAGCCTCTCTCCCTGAAAAACTATCTAGAAAGGTATAGTGGTAGTAAGATAAAGTGAAGAGTTTATATTCAAAGCATATTATAGCTTAAAAGTGCTTAAATCAAAAAGTTCCCCGTGCCCATATTGAACAGACAATAAAAAAAGAAATGTGAAAGAACGCCCAACGCGCGTTTCGGTGCTAGTATGTTGCACCTTCGTCAGGGACCTTTGTCGTTTTAGCCAGTTACCTGGTTGAGCTTTGTTTAGATATAGGGGTTACTGGGGGGGATCTATATTT